AACTCGAGACATTTTTTCGTAGCATCCAAACTTCATCTTGACAACACTGACGTGACGAACATGAAGAAACGATTTATCATGAAAAAAAATCTGACTTATTGTAAAAATCACTTCGAGCTCCACTTTAAGTCGCCAATTGGCTTACAGGCAAGTAATTTTCAGTAATCACGATAGAAAATAAAAAGCATATGAAAGGAGAAATGACGAACGGCAACGAAAGAACCAATAAATAGAATAAAAAAAATGCCGAAGAACAGAAAAAAGCCGATCATTCTGTGAATTCGCATGCGGGTCGGCCAAATTGGCCGTGGAGCGCGGAAGAGATAGTATGCCCAAGTCCACCGAAATTATAATAGTTCCGTACTGAACCTCCGTTCTCAACCTCCAACTTACAGCTGCGCTAACTTTGTTGACGACGTCTGGACTCTCCGGTCTAGATAGCAACCTTCTTCCAGATTCTCGCACTTCGGGCTTTTCACAAGTGGTTGAGCACTGAGCCCTTCTTGGCTTCGTCTGTAGGCTTTACCCAAGTCCAGAGTCATCGTTTCTTTCGTTCCTCCGCAGTTATAGCCCTCAGCAGCATAGACGAGAGGAGGGTCCCATCCAGGGACTGTGGGTTGTTTTTCTTCGTCTGAGGCAAACTGATATTCAATCATTTTCGAAATGTGTTTGTGTATGTCTTCCAAAGCCCCACATACGAGACGGACTTTGTGACTAACAAATCCTATACAACCGAAACTACAGAATCAACATTTTTAACAATCAACAATACAACAGAATCCTCATTTCTGAATGACAACAAAATTACCAATAATTTAACTGGTTATATACCGTGTGCTTTACTACACGATCCAAATTCTTTCGACTGCTGAAAGTTAGTTCCCAGAAACTAGCAATATGAGGTGGGTGAAACGGAAAATTTTCTCAGTGAAGCTGAGATTGTCTGAATAGCCTCAAAATTGATGGTCCACTCGAAAACACGTGGGTGTAGGGTTTATTTATTGAAGAACATCACTGTTACATAGTAAATACTGATTATTTATGTATTCACGTAATTTCTGCAATTCTGTTTCGGAAACTTCAAAGTCTTCCACTCCCAATCGAATGTATTCTTTTATATTGGGTGCCAAAATGCATTCGGACCCTTTGACACACTGTGAATTTCGTGCTCCATGCGTAATTTGACTGTCCCATGGGCAATATCAAAAATAAAAGCTCTATGCTGATAAGCTACCTTTGGTGCTTTAGTGACTCGCTTCGTCTCGATTTTGGATTCCCACACTTTCGTAAGCTATTTTTTCATCTGTTGCCACTTTTTTGGTTCCCTATAATATGGTTCGTTTCTTTTTGTCAATTGAATTTTCATTTTGCTGAAACTTGAACGCAACCTGAAATTATCTCGGAGTAGGCCGTCGTTTAAGTGACAGTGCTTGCCATGACTTATTGCTGCTTCCTATTTTTGAATCTATTAATTTATTCACCAAGTGTGTCAATTATCCTATCATGCCCCTCACCTGCACAATCTTTTTTTGCGCCCTGGCGCTTTTAGTATGAACTAATCTTCGAAATATCTAAAAATCTGAGTTTTGCGCAGTGAAGTGGTACGAGTGAAGCTGGTGCAGCCACATCTTTTTTTTCGGGTTTCTAACAAATGTTCTTCAGCCCCACAATGACCAGGTTCAGAGTGACGGGATCAGTCTTTAATGGTTCAAAGAAATGTTTTCAATCTGGAAATGGTGTTTTTTGGATAAGAATAAAGGTCGGAGAAGCTCTAGGGCTGGTGTAATCTTGACCAGAAGTATGTAAAAAGAATGCATGAAGTGTAGTTGACCGCTGAGGACATACTACCTAGCTGAGGGAGAGCAGAGGAAGGAGCAAAAGAGTTAAGGGCCCTACAACTTCATTTCATCACAGGTCTTGCCTAAACGACCACGATGTTGCGAACGCGACAATGACTCTGGTCAGTTTCGCTACTGACAGTCGCTGTGGCGACAGCGGATTTACATCCGCTTGAGCGGTGGAACCCTGGCCTTTGAAGAAGACGATAGCGTCGAAACGTTAGGCCATTGAATTAATAAATCGTTCCACCTAATAACCTCGCACGGCACAAGAGTATTTAAATAATAAACAACTATGCAGAGGTTAAAGCAAGAGAGAAGTTGGAAACTACTCTGGTCAGGTTTGAAAAACTTTTTCCTGGTGTTGAATCTATGTGTTTCTATGTTTCAGTTGCCTATATTTTTAGTTCAGAAAGATCACGTGACACGATGCACTTTGTGAGAATTGCGTGGGCCAGGAATCTTCGGATCCCGCGCACAATCGATCTCTTCCTTTTTTGTCTCACTGGTACTGTTTTTTGTGTTCAAGTTACAATCCAAGTTTTGTGTTGTGTTTTAATTGCCAAAGCTTGAGGTAAATCGTGAAGTCAAGCCGTGTTGTGTACTACATACGATAACACGAAATCAAAGGCGAGCATTTTGCAAGCGCACAAGACGGCAAGATATACGATCTTATTTGGGAAATGGGCGTTTGGTTCAAGCGGCATGCCGCGCGGTGAGATAACTATCCAAAAATCACGCCGAGTATAACGTCACACACACTTAACGACTCCATTCTTAATCTTTTAATCCAACTCCTTTCAGTTTTCGAGGGCTTTTTCCGGAAATTTTCATGACAACAGCATGAGTGATGTGCAGGGATGGAACCGCCATAACGGGGAGCACCAATTCAGCACCTTTTTTGCTCTCGTCCGGACGGGACAGTGACTCTTGCTGCTTTTCCCCGTTTTTTAGAATGAATTACTCTGAATTTTAGTCGCTGCAACTTTCCAACACTGTGTATTGTTTTGAGACGAAAGATGTGTGTGGCACGTTCCTTTCTCCAATCATTGTTGGGCAGTTCTGAAGGAGACGCTGGCTGGATCATTTTGGACGCACATGATACACGAAGAGACGCAGCTTCAACTCTGTCAACTCTAATTGCTTGGTTGACTTCAAAGATTTGTTTTTACAGAAGCGGACAGCGACGTTCGATAATATCGAAAGGGCAACTGATTAGCTCTTGATTGCATCTGACCGAACAAAGAAATGACCTATCCTACGAGTTCTCGTAGTTCGAAATTTTGATTGCATCCGTTAGCGTTGATCGAGGCGGAGACGCTTTACCCCACTGACCATGCAACAATTGAATTTTCGCAAAACGAAGTGCTTCAAGAGTAGGTTGCATACCACATCGGAGGGATGAAAAGCTGCTCAAATGCTGTTTGGGCCGGCCTTGGAATGCCAACCTCTTGGATTACTGTGTAGGGCATGACTCTGAAGATTTCACAACACTGGCTTCAACGTAGGCTGCTCTACGTTATAGAGACCCAATGCAGTATAGCCGGTTTCGCATACCATCTCAGTACTTGTAAGAAGTTGGAAAAATGGTATTTCACGGAGGAAACTGAGGCGATTTCATCCTTGCCGTTTGTTACTGACGAAGTGGAAAGTGTTCAGAGCATTCAGGTTTTTTTACCCGGGTGTGGTGCGTTAGGATCGAAATGGTCGCGTCGCGGTGAGAGGGGCGTCGCGCGCGAAGGAATGTAGCAGGATGCAGCAGTTGGTAAGAAATACAAGAATAAAAGTACTAATAGTAGAATTATGCATAAAATAATGGTCGTATATAGATTGAGCTGTAATAACTGCGAATGAGTGGTCCGCGACAGCCGCGTGCGGCAAATCGATTACCCAAAATCGTTCCTAACGTCCGCCTCCCTTTCTACCCTCTTCGTTCTACCTTGTTGGCAGGCTTGCTCGTAAGGGTACTCTGTAACATACATGGTATCCGACGAGCTTCTGCGAGCTTTTAATCGAAGCCATCTCATTTGTGAGACCAGGATCGTAGTATATTGAGCTATATGAATAGGAGAGCTCTCGATTCGTCGGCTGCTCAGGCGAACACTCCGCCCAAGATCGTGCGTGACGTCTACTCGGATTTGCTGGGTTTCAGAAATCGTGTTCCACTGTTTCCTTTTTAACAGGATGATTATGACCGTATATACGGTTAAATGAGTGGTAGTGCGGATCAGCCATATCCAGCTACTTTGTCCTTATCCCTTTCCCACAGTCACTTGCCTAAAATGCTGCCCCCATTCTCAAATCTAGTGGTGTCAAAGGCTCTCAGTGGTTCAGAGGAAGTATAAATAAGCGAATAGTCAACAAACGTACATCCTTTTTCCTATTCCTTGTCATCAATTCCATAGACAAATACTGAGTGGGTTTTTTTGCGGTTGAACTTGCGGTTTTTTGTTGATGCACAGCGAACAGACGTCGACCTTCACCAGTGTACTCCCTCAGATTCGAGAGAGAACGAAAAAGAAATGCCATTCTTTTGAATCGCACCGTACTTTATCGACACAATCATTGCAGTAACTTTTTCTGTGCTCTCAATTAGTCAGTAAATTCTCTAGCGAATGTTCCGCACTGCTCTTCTGATTGTTTTGGAGTTGTTGTCCCACTCAGAAACGCCATGACTGATTTCTTCTACCCTGTTTAACTCTCTTCAATATCAGTTTGGACCGCATCGGAATCAAAAGATACTTCCATGACCAGCTGGCTTCGAAATGGGAACTAATTTTAGCTTTCCGACTCCATTTACTAATTGCTCTTAAGTTGTTATACCATCCTTTGGTATAGTTCTGATCAACTATCAAATCGATAATAGGATTTATTCAGTAATATAATCTCGACAAAACGTAGTTCAACAAGCCATCGGAACAAATGATTATAAGTGCTTAACAAAAGGCCCATCTGGTAAAGGTCAAAAAAATTTGAACAAACACACCAACACAACGCCAAACAGACCCGGAGGGCAACCGGCGCAGCCTTACAGTGCTACTCGGTTGTAGACAACCAGTGGTCCTCCGTTCAGGTCCTTGACGCTAAAATAGTGTTAATTCAGCAGATGTCTCACATAATTGACTCTCCACACGAGTCTGAAGGAATTTTCAGGAGGTCCACTTATGCAGCCTTCTACCCAAGTTCACATAGTTTATTGGGACTTTTGGATCGGGCATGTACCGCGAAGATGCCCTTCTCTCCTCTACTACTCTACTCTCTTTATCTACCGTCATGACGAGGGGGGTATGTGTCACCTCGTGCGTCCGTGGACGCGCGCGGCAAACTGCGCGGCGAAGTTGCAACGAATTGAACGATTTTAGCGCCCATCATTGGGACCCAAATTTGAAGTGGAGTAGATTAGAAGGATTATCTGACCTTATTAACTGCTCTACTTCGAGTTTGTGCCCTGAAAATTGGCGTCGGAGTCGTACAAATCATCACGAACTTCGCCGCGCGCGCCCACGGACGCACGAGGTGACTGTACCCCTGATGAGGGTAGCTGGTGCTGGAGGGTGGTCGGCATGCGGTATGCGGCACTGCGAGGCAACTAAATAGTAGCTGTGGGTTACTGCGCGCGATGTCGCGTTAGGCACTTTCTCCCACGTGTCACACCATCAACTAAATTCAATAATTTCTAGAAAATCGAAAGCTTCTCCACACTATGGTGGGCTGTAGCTCAGCTATAGCGCATGAAGCTTACGGGTGACTAGGCCAAGGCTCAGGTCGGACCAACGAAATCGTCATCAGTTTGCAGGGCAGCGCCTTCTCGCACCTTC